CGACAAAATCCTCGGAAAAAGGCAAACTTTTCCCCTAATTTGCACCTATTTTATGTTTTATTTTACTCCTTTTTTTTGCTTTTACTTGACTGAGTACCAGGACGTCCTACCACAGAGTAGGTAACCTGAAAAATTATACAATCCGGAGTCAAAAGTCGGTAATATGAAATTAGTCTATTGGATTGGGACATTTTGCCTTGCTACCTACGGATCTGTCAAAGAGTTTTTGCACATGTTTTTAACGTACAGAAAGTACGCAACATTGTATTTAACGTCCACACTCTGTTAGGATGTGACTGTGTGTTAATAAATCCCACATATCCAAACGGATGCCCTTATGGGAAACTTGGGTAGATTTCTAAACCTTGGGGTACCCGCATCGAATAACAAATGTATACTGTTAACAAACTATATTACTACTATAGTAACTTAAAAAAAAGTAATGCATCCCTTTCACACAAGGAATGAAAAACGAAATTGCTTTAGCATACAGTTTACATATCGTTGTCTCGTATATATAAAGGAAGAAATATATCATCAGTAAAGGTAAGTCCTGTCGGGTCATTTTCTGTGTTCTGTCATTAATAAGTTCAATTCGGGAATGATACATAAACAAATGACTGGTGTATAATTGTCTCATTGGCCAATCAGACCACACCTTCTTTGTTATACTTATACCAGTAATACAAAATCATTTAATAAGTACGATTCTTGTACGAAATGCGCCAATTTCTAATGAACAAATATAGACTTTACAGTACCAGGACTTCGCTCAGATAGTTTAAGTACACAGGTATCTGTTTCTGTTTCTCTCTCTCACACACACGCACATTTATATATATATATATATATATATATTAAGCTATATGATCTAAATGTTTATTTCAATTTCACTAACGAACTATTATACACTGTCAACAAATGCTTTTTAAATTAATTATGTAATTCTATTCATTTATCATTTTTTACTTTATCAGTTGAAAATAAAGTAACATGTCTCCAACAACAAGTAGTTATAAGCAAAATTTAGTTACAAAAAAAACTGTAAGGGATCATTGTTTTTATATGAAACTATTTTAAAAAGTAATTAATATCAAATATAAATATTTTTTTATAAAGATTCGTTACATTGTAAGTGTAATTATTTTACGCAAAAGACGTATCTGAACCCCGAAGTTTTAGCCATACACGACAAAAAATTGAGGTGATAATGAGTAATTTATAGACGATTTCTAAATCCCACCAAAATAATGTTTCTGCCTGGTGTGCTACGATTGTCTGCAAATGTCGATAAACCTATCTGACCATTATTAACAGCAGCATTTCGTTTATAAAAATGTAAATTATACATTGTGTATATCATTAAAACATGCCGTCAAAATGCCCATATAATTATTTCGCTTAATCAATGGTGCCAAGAAACACATCCACTGTATCTGGAAAGACTATATATTTATTTGTTGGTCCAAGCTAATAAAACAAGGAGTTCTAGATATGGTATGATTCCCAATGAGCCAACTATCCACCATAGAATATATGACGTAGATGTTCGCAACTATACGTCACCGAAATGCCTTCAGCAATGAGCAAAACCAATATCGCATAGCAAGCTATAAAAGGCCCCGACATAACAAATTGTAAAACAATTCAAAAGAGAAAACTAACGGCCTTATTCATGTAAATTACAGACTCCTCACCTGGGACAGTGGTGTAACAGCACAACCTGTGAACAAACCAAAAACATCAAAATTTTATTTACAACTCGCATATACTTCTGGGGACCAAGTTTTAGAGGTTGTAATTTAGTTTAGACACATGTCTTTAGATAATGACAGTGTGTTCGCCTCTAGAAAACAGTAAGATACCATTAGAACTATCAAAATCATTAAAACAATTAAAACTATATTTGTCGTTAAAGACATATTACAGAATGGTCAAAAGACATAAGACAAAAAGACAAACAACAGTCCACTAAAAACTACAGAGACAACTAAAGATTACGAAATGTGAAGTTAACCAAAAAACTAGGGATATATTCAGGTGATCCAATTTCACTGGTATAGTAACTTTCTTTGTTGTACTTTTTGATACTGACTCCTTTGATAAGCAATACACGGTGATAAGGTACCATATAACAGTGTTTAAGTAAATTTACTCTTGTCTAAGAACCCTAAGGTAAAAATTCCACTTTTTTATAAGAGTTGTAAACTGTGACAAATAAGATCAGTATGCGCAATTCATTTCAGGTAGACAACAATGGTAGCCTTTTTTCCATTCCTCTGTCCACATACTAAACTTGGATATGAAAGCTGAGACATTTTCACAGATTTGGTTAAATTTTCGGTGTACAAAATTTCACAAAATTGGAAACTCAGAAAGGTCCCATGTGATGCGGCTTCAGCAAGTTAAAATGCCATATTTCACACAATTAAGTTCTCAGGAAATTCAGCTCTTTACAAACATTTAATATCTCCAAATTTATTAATCCTTATTGCACAGTCTTCTGCTCTTTAAAATAAAACACAACGGTTAAGCTTAGTCAATTACTAGAATAGTATCATGTCACATATTATTGCATACAGGTTCTTTAAGTGGAAGTTGAAGAATAGGATGGCTCCACTCCTTAAACATCTTTACGATTTGTAGAACAGATATTTACGTAGGCAAACACATGAAATCACGACACAAATATAAATTCTGAAATTTTTTATTTACGAAATATATCTATAACTTAAGAAGGAAATTGATTCATGTGTCAGTGATTTTTCAACAATTATTTATTAGCTAAGCAAATGTACAGGTATCAGACTCGTATACATTTTTCTGAAAATCTAACTGAAATCTCTTATGACATAAAAACCTTGCAAACTGAACAAAAAAATAATACCGTAAAATTGATTTTCAATTAACTCTTAGCCTAATTAGCGACACACCCGCTCGGTTCTGTATGACATACAGGCATTTGGGAAGCACCGTCGGATGCATATGGTAACAACGTCTGAAGCACTGTCCAAAATCGACTGAACCATTCCAGAAAACTATGGGTTGATCCAGGGTATATGTTAACACAAACATTACGATTGCTGGTAAATCCAGGGATCTTCGATATCATCTTTGCAGCTTCAATAGTTGACTGTGTAAGTTTGTAAGTTTCGCTTTCTTCACTCCTTAAAATAGATATTTTATTAGTTTTGAGGCTTAAGCTTTTTATCAAATGTCCCCTTACAAAAATTTATATCATGTTATTCACGATTTATATGATGTTTTAGCATAAACTCTACTATAAATATTTTCGGTATATAATCCGTTTCATGGAATTACGCCCTCTTTCTAAAATCCCGGACCTGCATCTAGTGTGGATCCTGGTGGTAGACAAATCCTTTTGACCGTCATAAAAGCGCTGTGAAACTTATTTTAAACCTTAATTTTTTTTTACATTTTGTCATGCCTTTTATAGCTTACTATGCGGTACAGGTTTAGCCCATTGTCGAAGGCTGTTTTGTAAGCTATGATTGCTAACATCTACGTCAATTAGTCACTGGTGGATAGTAAGTTGTCTAATTGGCAATTATACCACATTTCTGTATTTTATATTATATGAATAAGCATTAGTTTATTTTAAGTTCAGTTCATATGTTAGGATTCCCATTCTTATTATAAGCATCTCATGTATTTCATTAACCTGATTGTTCATATGTTTTTTTGGGGATTCTGGGTTTTAGGTTGGTCTATCAGAATACGGTCTTTTACAAGTTCTTGAGCTTTAGGGCGAACTTTGTCTACGAAGAAGTTAAGTAAACGATCACCAATTCCTTCGATGTTATCACGTTTACCGCATTTTTCTATCATCAGCCTGTACATTAAAAATAAAATTATAGATTACATATAACTCGTATTCAAGAATATTTTAAAAATAAATCAAACCAGCATATACTTTTCTTTATACTATTGTTATGTCTCATACGGTACTCCAATATGACAATTTTTTTTTTTTTTTTTTTTTAAAGATTTGACAGTGTTCTCAACTTAAAATAACATAGTAGCCTCTGTTAAATATTTTTTTCATTTTTGTCGAGATCCATGAATCATGGGTTATTTAATTTTTTTTAGTCGAACCATTTTTTCAACCTTTGTTCAGATAACATAGAAAGTTTGCAATATTTGATTAAAAATATATTCCAACAATACTCAGCTCGTTTTAAAGTCCGAATTTTGAAGTTAAAACTATGCGCTCTTACTTGTTTCTTATTGTTTATCAGTGCTTGTCCGCTTTGTCGTTCTGATTTTCTGAATGTTATTTTAACGTTATGGAGTTTGTCAGGTATCAGACAAATGGTTGAATCTCACCAGATTTTGTGCATATATTAAGCCAAACGACTGATCGTATTTCCTTTGATTAACTTGTTTTCTTTTTTTTTATTCAACAATATTGCACACGCTGTTTACAATTACTCCACTGACACAGCTATCTCAGTGAAGGTCCCCGTTTCATTATGAATATTTACCTTTGATATTCATCAACTGTAAAATTAATCGGCAAGCAGTTGTCGCATAAATGAAAAAAGGTTCCGTTAGCACATGTCAGAACGGTTCCTGGAACAGGTGTTAGTAAATCAAGGCGTTCATGATCTGGTTGATAATCGCCGTACCCAATGATAATAAATTCTTTAGTTGTTACAGTTTCAGCTAATAGTTTATCGACAATAGGGGCAAGTTACGCAGAATAACCACCCGGATATAAATCAAAATTAAGCAAATTCGGATATTTTTTAAAGGTGTTTTCGTTAAAACTTGGTGGCAAATACAGATAAATCTGGCGTTCCTTCCCGATTTCGGAAGAATGAATTGTGAAATTAGAGGTATGTCCTGCATTTGAGTAGAACCATGGAAATACTTCAAACAAAGGCTTTTCGTGGAAATATGAAGAAGACATCGATACGGGCAAATATACACCAAAGTTGCCACCAATCATATTAGTTTTGTCTGCAATCAAAATTCAAGCTTCTTAGTAATGGATTCGTCATTTGAAAAGTCTTGGCATCGGAAGCCATCATCTGATGATGTAAAGTTGAAGTTTATTTCCCATGTATCAGTCAAAGTTTTTGTCATTTTCTTTCCTGTCTTCCAGTTTAAACCAAGTCCACTTCCTCTGATATATAACACGTTGTTTTTAATTTCCTGAAATACAAATGTATACGTATACATTTTGAAAATTAGTTTTAAGAAATACATCAGGTTCTATGAAAGTTCATATCGTGTTACTTACATTGTTGACATTCAAATAGAAAATTGTATCTAACCTTTTTACAAATGTGCGTGTTTAGTTTAAATTTTTAAAGTTTTCCTATACAGCTCGCAAATATAAGCACCGTTCAGGATAAATGTTGTTTCATATTCTAACAGTCTTATAATTCTTGTTAAAATATGTTGAGGCGACGAAAATAAAAAGTTTTGTGGTTTTTCATTTTTCGTCAGTTTTGGTTGTTTAAAGTGATATTCGTCGGACAGAGCGGCATAACTCGTATCTATAATGAAGAAAGTGTATGTGTATTACAACTCTTTGTTACAGGTACTCAATATCCAGAAAACGTGCAACAAAAATGCAAAACTGGATGCTTTTATGGTTTTTCTAAATCTGTGTAAAGGAACAGTATGATACATTTTGAATGGTCAATATGAATTTTTGATGCAGAATGCCATTTATAAGCACTATTTTGCTATTTCTTTTTGAATGTTTTACAATTTTTTTCAAATGCCTATACATTGTAAAATGTTCGAAAGCATCACATCTTTTTTGGAAAACCTATAGTTTAACAGCGAAATTATGAGAAGATATCTGTTTTGCAAAATGGACGAATCCGCACTGCAGACCATATTGTTGTCCCTGTATCACAGTCGTCACTAATAACAGTTCTCTCGAGCCTCAGCTTATATTAATTATGAAAAATCAAAAATATTTGTTTGCAAAGTTTTTGTTCGAGTCCCAGAGGAGACAATGTGATTTTCCAATAAGAATAATGCTCTCGTGTTACAAACTACTGAGATGATGATACTTCGGGGCCTATAATAGTCCACCAGCAGCGATATCAACCCAGTGCTAGAAAATGAAAATAACTTATATTAACACTCCTTACAGGCATTCTACATGCAGTAAAATGTAAAATATCAAAGGATGGAACTTTTCTCTTGCCATTGGACATGACTCATAGTCATGGCAATCAATAAAAATGGTTCTACAAAACTATTTCGGGGAATAATGAATTAAATCCTTTTCTCTTTACCACAAAGGAGGTTTGATTGGTTCACTATTTAGGTCGCTTGAATCCAAAAGTCACATTGTACAATCTACCTTCTGTTTATTACTGAACCATAAAAGCTGGTTCATGTTTAGGAATTTGCTCTAGTTGAAATAACCAACTCTATTTAGCTGGTAAAATATGAATAAATGTATTGCAGTGACAAAATGATAATAACGTTTAGATACCTTCATGTTAATCTCTGGGTATTTAGCCACTATCCGAATCGCTAGGTCGGATCTTGGCCGAGACTGGACTTCTGTTAAGCACTGTCCTACCATGCAATACCCATTCTTGCCTTCTTGTGTTACACATGAAAGAGTCTCATTACAAACACTGTCAACATTCCAAACCGAAATTGAAACTAAACAGCATATCTGTAAAACCTAAATGTGATAATTTATTAATTTGTCAATAAATTCAAAAACAATTTATACTGTTAAATATATATATCTGTTATGTAATATGTCCACACCAAATACAAAGTTAACACTCATATTATTGAATATTGTGTTTTTGTGGGTATATGTTTTATGTATTATAGGGTATTGTGTATACATTTATGCTTTAATGGTAATGATTCTACATGCAACATGCCTAAGAAAAACTTCGTGATTCACTTCAGCCATTATATGTCTTATCATTTTATATGGAACGTCTACGGAAAAGCGTAAAAGATACCATTGGCGAGGGGATGATAACTAATAGTAGAAGGAAGACAGACACTACAAACAACGGTACATGCAAGTTTGACCAAAGGGTTCCATTTCAATATGTAAAATGACGACATGAGTTTCTGTCACTTGACTCTAGGAGGTATCAGTTGTTCATATTAACCCAAATACAATGTCGAAAAAAATATATCGAAACAGATTGATATATAAATACGGAGCTATGGTTCATGTATAATTGCCGATAAGACGACTATCCACATGAGTACGTTTCTGTGTTTTCTGATCTACTATTTTTCTACGTTTAACCTGCATACAGTTCATTATCCGCCAAAATAGTTATTTAGTTAAAAAGCATCCACCAAAATAAAAAAAACGGCATTTGTTTCGTATACTGTTTTAGTCCTTCAATGCCTATTTTCACAATTTGGAGAACACAGCTATATTCATTAACGATTAACCAAATCATGATAGCGTCTGTAAAACTACGAACAGAGGACTTTAACTTTATGACTTTGGTTAAATAGCTTCCTTGTAAGGAGAAACCCTATATCACAGAAATACTGACAGGAAAGGTTAACACAAACCCTGTTCAATCGTATCAAATTAAACTCTACCTGCATGATGAAATGTTGCAACTTATATATTTGAAAGCTCACATTGAGAAATGTGGATTCATTCCTTTTTTTCATAACGTTAAGGGATCCATCGAGCAACGCTGTCAATTTTTAGATGTGGAGTCAGATTATGAAGAAGACTTACTTATATCTATTGTCTCCTTTATTTCATGTTCAGTGGGCGAGATGCGATCAACATGGTCATCATCAGTAATAGGACGTCATCTTTACAGCTGATCATAAAGGGATATCGAAATCAACTTTCTTCGATTATGTACAGTCATGTTTGTACTAATAAACGATCGATCCATTTGTTTTTTATATGAATTCCAATAGTTATTGTTTACACAAAGTGTTTAACCTACATTGGATTGATATACTTAATTGCATTTCGGTGTTATGAGGTGGGTATATCTATCATGTATTTCTTTGTGAAGTTATTTATTTATATGGTTACTATTTTGTTTCTTTTTTGTTTCGTCCTTCGAAGAAAAAAGGTTTAACCAAGATTGTTGTAATTCGTATTAAAATTATATTTCTCGTTTCAATACGTATAGATTATGTTAAAGCTTTTAGAGCAATGCGTATATTGATTTACTGAACTATCGGTTGTCACCTAATGTGATTTTAATTTTAATATTTTTGTTTCTTTTTTTATATTTATTTAATATTTTCCCGAGTTTGCATTATATAAGACAAATGTCTTATGTTATGAGTGTTTTTTTTTTTAATTTTCTTCGGCTTATTGACATAGTACAGAAACTACTGATACGATTACTTTTGTGAAATGACCCGATACATACCAGGGTTTCTATTAAACATCTCATAATAAATAGTATATATGTTTTTCATCTTTTTTATAGGTCATTCATACCTTTTAAAAAAGAAGAATGTCTTTCGAGATCCGAAATTTAAATTAAATTCGAGATTCGATATATGAAGTTTAAAATTCTTGTTTTTCAGATACTTTGTCAGAATTTTTGTTTTATTATAAATCTGTTATATGTCGTAATAGGAAGGAATTAACTCATATACGATACTTCCTTCCATTGTACATTTTGAACCGAGGAAAATTGTAAAGTAAGGTCAGTGACTTACTGACTGATACGCAGCTGGATGATTAATAAATTTCCAACTTGTCATGACGACCACTAATTTATTTCAACACACAAGAGGTAGATGAAGCAATTTTTGAAAAGAGAATTCAAGTCATTTTATTTATTTGAGTGTTCTACAGAAATTACAGTTTTATAACGGTATAAAAATGGAGAGAGGATAGAAAAATCTTATGAGTAAAAGATACCAGAGGGACAGACAAACTCATAGATCGAAAACAAACTGACAACGCCATGGCCAAAAATAAAAAGACTAACAGACAAATAATAGTACAGATGACACAACATAGAAAACTAAAGACTAAGCAACACGAACCCCACCAAAAACAGGGGGTAATTTCAGGTGCTCCGGAAGGGTAAGCAGATCCTGCTCCACATGTGGCACCCGTCGTGTTGCTTATGTTATTACAAATCAGGTAAAAAGTCTAATTCTGTAAGTCACATACGTGAAAAGGGAAGGGTATTGTAGTTACGACATAAGGAACATATCCGATATCATCTGTGAAACGGTTATTCCATAACGGTCAACCAACTTGTGATGGCGTCCGTAAAAATTTACGAAGGGATGATTTCAACTTCACCATTTGGAACTCTTGGCTTAATAGCTTCCTTGTGAGCAGCAATCCTCTATCAAGGAAATCATGATAGGAAACACAAGCCCGGGAATATCGTATCAATTGGGAGATATATACTCCGTATGCAGGCGCTGCTGGAATGTTGCTACATAGAAATGGAAAGTTCACAATTGGGAAGCTGAAATCATCTCTTTTGTCGTAAAGTTTTGTTTTCAACCGACCCTCATTGTCAATTTCTAGATGTAAGTCAAGATATGAGGCAGACTTAACTGTATCTGTAGTATCCTTTATCTCTAGTTCGATGGGATAGATTCGTTCAACATAGTCACCAAATTTTGTATTATTTAGTGAAAGAACATCATCTATATAGCGGAATGTAGAGTTAAAGGATATTGCTAACTTCTTATCTTTCTTCCTAAGAAGTTCCTGTATGAAGTCAGCCTCATAATAATAAAGAAACAAGTCGGCAAGAAGAGGGGCACAAGTGGTTCCCATTCGAATTCCGACAGTCTGTTGAAAAACACGTCCTCCAAACGTAACAAATATGTTGTCAATCAAGAAATCAAGCATCTTGATAATGTCAGTTTCAGAGAATTTTTTGTTTGAATCAGAGTGATTCTTTACAAAGTAGGATTTATCTTTTTCCAAGACAAGATACTTGTATCCACGTTCGCCATTCTTTTTAATGAAACAAAGTTATACCAACTCTTTCAATTTGTCGTTTAGTATGGAATGGGGAATACTTGTGTAAAGTGTAGAAAAGTCAAATGTTTTAATACTATTGCAAGATGAGAGAGTCTTAGATTGTATGTACTCTAAAAGATCTTTGAAATTTTTTAGTATCCACATCTGATTCACGCCACCTCTAGAATAGGCAGTTTCACAATAACTTTGCAGCCCGGCTTTGATTGCTGATAAAATAAATGTTAATAATTTAGAAAGAGGTTTCGTGGAGCACTTGGAAGACCCAGCAATATACCGTTGTTTGTAAGGACACTTATAGTTTAGGTATCAAATACAGTGATGGAAGATCCAGTTCTTCATCTTTAGTTGAAATTCCAAAGGAACATAGAACAGACCTATGATTATCCAGGATTTCCTCTATGGTAAGTGTCGTGAGGGTATATGTTGAGTTTCCAAGTGAATTGGCAATACCTAATTCATTTATCAAACAGTTTATGTAATGATATTTACACACAAAAACGATGTTGTTTGGGACTTTATCTGCGGGGACAACAACATATTTGTCATGGAGGTAGGACAAGTGTTTTGAAACATTTGGGTCTTTACAAATTGATGTAGCGTGGGTATTGATATGCCCATTTAGTTCCTTAATTCGGATTTGTATCAACGACCTCTCAGCCTTAATCCATTCGGAAAGAGTATCTACATCTTCTTTCTCGCGTTTAGCCCATTGCCTGGCATAATCCTCGACTGAATCCATCAGTATTTTGAAGTTGTATTTCCAATTGATGGATTTAAACTCACGACATTTCGGACCTTTGGATAACAAATGTCGCAGGGAAGTGTTATTGACAATGTTGAGGTCTCCGGTAATAACGTGGCCAGCCGGATTATATGTGAATTGGGAACTAGCACAGGTGCAATCAGGAGGTTTATACATGATGTCGTCAATGTTGAGATCCTGCAAAACGTGTTTGTAATTGAAAATTTTAGTTGCAATTTGTTTGGTATAGGTATAAGAAATTATTGGTACAGACTGATCTTTAAAATAAGGAGGTATTTTCGACTGAACTAATTTATGATGAAGGATATTGCCTAAGTTGACGCCATCGAGACCTTTGTTGGCAAAGGAAAGTTTAAGAAAAGATATTTTCTCTTTTTCATCTTTTCAAATGCGAACTGGTTTGAAAAGTCTGTGACTTGCAATATCCGAAATGATAGCTGTAAGTTTGTATTGGTTTGAATGAGGATTTGTAACAGTGGTTTCCAAACATAAATTGAACAGAGAATGAAGTTTTGAAAGGGGTAATGAATACAGTTTCGTGCAAATGTGATGAATACCTAACGGCTTTTGTATAAATGGCAGCAAGTCATTAATAGAGACATCATGCAAAGTAGGTGATGTATAATGACGATGACCATGACTGCGTCTACGTCGAGGAGTAGAGTTGAAAATATTCATCACATTCAGCGAGCTACAGGAAGGACTAGATAGAATACCTATACCATCAATTTTGTCATTGCAACCATATGGTGTCGCAGTTCCCAATTGTCGAATCCAGTAGTCCTCTTTTTTCTACGGAGAGGCATTGCAAGTTGAGGATTGTTAGTCTTGCGGTATAGTTTTTCGATTATACGAACTGTCATAGAACTGATGGAATGATAAACTTCTTGCAAATCATATACGATAAAATATTTGAAACGCTAAAAACTATATTGGAATTAAAAAAAAACCAAAGACGAGTTATGTAATAGAAGCATATAAAATTCTGCACTCTAGCGCATTCCGAACATAAGAAGTAGTTCTTGAAAATGTCAGTTTTGAGTCTTTTTTACAGTATGTAGTGTTTTGTGCTCCACAAATTAATATGTATCTGCATATTGTCCATGCTTTTCTCTACTGTGTTATTTTCTTTCCTTAGCTTTCTTTTAATTTCTTTCTTAATTGAATTATTTAGGTACTGGCTACGATCACGATTTTCGTTTAAGATTAATTGTCGGAATGCAAGGTCGGATTGATCATAAATTTAATAAAAAGTGCCGTTGCAAACAAATTCATCCGCAAAACGTAAACAAGGAAATACAGATGTAGATAATAGCTATAAATACACATGATTTTATTCGCTGTTTATTACGTAATCGAAACAGGTTATTCAACTTGTCTTTCATTCAAGAAAGTTTTATTCTCAATATTTTGTTTAGAGTTGTATATATAATTATATATATTCATATTGTTTTTTGAATATCAGTTTTTAAACCTGGCTAAAAATTGTTTGAAACGGATAATTTGACCGGCTGTCGGTTATTTATTAAGGAAAACACTGACACCTTTACGGATGTTTGAACAATTAAATATTGTTTTAAGCATAATAACGTTATAAATCGAAATAAATATATATCGTGCGCTTCTTTGGAAATTCAGTTTCAAATTAATACATGTCTAGCTAGTAATTACCTTTGAAAGCATTTCTCTCACGTGGTCTTAAGTGCACTCTTAACTGCGTTTTATCATATTAGTGTAACGAGTATTGTGTTTATTCAAAATGTAGATTTTTGCATTAGAGTTATAATGTGTTGAACATCATTTTCAATGTTGTTTAGGGTCAATCTGTGTTATAGATTTTTATGAGATTTTGCATACAGCTTCAGCTTATTAAACTTAAATTTAAAGTCGAAATAATAAATGTTATCACTGACTTGTTTTTGACGTATTCAGTTTCGGCTGTGCCGTACGCCGAAAGATTACGTTTTACGACACAACACCGAAGGGACGGTTCTCGCCATTAACTAAAATTATACTGGGATATCACTCAAAAAAAAAAAAAAAAAAAAAAAACAACGAAAAAACGAAACAAAAGCAACACAAAAACACCAAATCACAAACAAAAAATAAGAAACAAATAAATACAAAAGCATCACTGATCGATTTTGAAAAAAAAAACAATCTGAGAAATGAGTTGGTAAAGATGATTTTTAGAACGTTTTTCGGTGAATTTACGTGCATTCTTAACAACGGTTTACTTAAAACAAAATAACCCCCTGGCCAAAGGCAAACGACAATCTGAAAAAAAAAAAACTATCAAGAAAACAAAATGAATATTAAGTGAATCCATATCCCTCTACAAATTGGAGCTGAACACGATGCTCCGGAAGGGTCAGCAGTTCCAGCTCCACTAGTGGCACCCGCAGTGTTAATCTTGATACATTGATTAGTCATATTAAGTGACAATGTATAGAATATATTGTTGAATATCGGTGCGACCGCTTCAGTTCCTTGTGTCTAAATAAGGGCATACTCTTCTTTCATCACAAAATCCTAAATAACCAAAACATTTTCTTTGATCAATCTGCTATTTTGAACATTGATATGTTTCTCCTTTTAGAGCACTAGATATTACTTTCAGTTTTGACAAGAATTGAACATTCTCAGCTATATTATAGCAGCAATAGTTTATTAAAATTTCAGTGTAAAGCTGGTTTTATAATAACAAAGTAGTTTGCTCTCATCATTTTAACTGAAATCTTAACAATCAATTATAGACTATTTATTGACCCTATTTATTTGAACCAAATAAATATAAAAACTATTTTCATATTTGTAATACCATCTACATAAAAGGAAGAACTGCAATATTCTTTACCTTGACTTTGATAAAATGGAAACAACCGTTGTAAAGCAACAACCTTTATATACATCTACAGCGGAGATATTTGGTAAGTTTAATTTTATGGTCAATATAAAAAATGAGATATGGTATGACTGCCAATGAAATAACTGTACGTTTATTTACCATTATATTATCAAAATCAATTGACAAAAGGTCGTTTGATGTTTTGGCACCATTTTGGGTCAACGTTCAGCAGCAATCCTACGCACCTGAATACCATTCCCGAACGCTGATTGAAATGGAACACACTTGCAAGAAATATTAAATATGACAAAATGAATTGCTTTGGCTTTGATCGAATAAAAAAAAAAAAAAACGATCGAGAATGCTCGCCACTATTTTATGTCAATGAACGTAATCTATGTTTATACGATAAACTTAAAGTACGCAGTCAGGGAATTCTCCGGTATTAATTACTTTACTAAATTATTCCAGAGATACAACGAATTGGTTTGAACGCTAGAATGATCCTGTAAACATCTTAATACAATCGGAATTTGACATCCTAATTTTGACGGTGACGCTCGTAAAATGAGAAATCATCTACATGTATGTTGAATTTTAATCCTTGTATCTATGATGAGTGTATTTAGTCTTAAAGTTAAACCATTTTGAAAGGATCTTGCAATTAACTTACATGTTATTTTGCTAGTATTTAACCAAAAGTAAACATTTATTGCTATCCAGTTAATAACACGTAGGATCCAGCTGCGGCAATGCCCAAGGTCATGCTTTTCGCAGATTGCGTCTGAAGTCTTTACATTAAATCCGTCAGAGGTGTTTTGATTGATATTCTAGTCTGTTTAAATAAAATATTTTAGTCTTTCAGTAACTTCTTTTACTCTTGAGTCGGTGTTTTATGTAATCTTTTTGTTTTTTTCAACTGTGTGCTTAGTACCAAGATAATATGGAAAGCCATTTCTTACTGATTCAAAAAATGTAATCTTATGTTGTACTGTTACACAACTGTCCCGGGTTAGAGGTGGGTTACGCAATCACATTATCAATAAGATATGTTGGATACACGTCAATGAGACAATAAACAAACGACAAAAATAATTAAAAGACTTCTAGAGGGGATGGTGCAATCTTCAACAATAGACAGGTGTCTAAACAAATATGACAAATTGGCAAATCGGCCAAAGTATATCAAAGACGTGAATATATCTTTAAGCAACTATCAATGAACTGACAAAAAACATGTGTAGCCCCACTGCTATATTTATGAGCCTGTCTTAAGGTAGCACAATACAAAGATTTTATACCTCCGATTCCCCAGTTTAAAAATGCTGTAACTTTCTTTATAATGCATCAAAATTTATAAAAGTGGTATTTATGGATACACATGTAGCTAACAGATTACCCTTTCAAATTAATGCAATGTTAGTATTATACAACAATTATGTAATCAATTATAATGTTAACTGTGTCTACAAAATTTTACAAGAAATTTCCACTTTCAATTGAAATTAGCTTCTTCATGGTAACCCCTAGAAAGTTGATTTTATTATATGTTGTTCCTAGAGCCATTATCTACAAAAGGGTGTCTTAGATTTCGGATAGAATGTATAGATAAAATTTTACACCTAATCAAACATTATCTACTTTTATGTGGTAAGGATGTTTACACTAATTACAGATTTATGAGAGAATGGAATACCATAGCAATAATTTGAGACACCCTTTTGTAGCTCCTGCTGTGTTGATTAAGATTTCGTTAAAATTTCCTGTATAGTTATAGAGATGAAAGAGCTAAATTCATTCAAGTGAATTGACCAAGATTTTGCTATTTATTGCATAATAATTGATTACATAATGATTGCATAACAAAAATATTGCATTCATTTAAAAGATTAATCTTTTATCTATCTATATATACCTCTTTTATTAATTTATTTGCATTTTTAAGAAAGTAACATCTTTTTAAAGGTTGGAGATTGGAAGTAAAAAATTCTTTGTATTGTGCTACCTTAAGCCAGAAGCCTGGAATTCAGTGGATGTCATTGGTAGCAGCTGTCTATTACAATTGGTTATCTTTCATTGTTTTAGCATTAATTGATTTATATGTTGTAATCCGGGGTTCCTTTATAGCTTACTATAAGGTATTGGTTTTGCTTACTGTTGAAGGTCGTACGACGACCTTTAGTTGTTCACATAATTTTTTTCAAGTCTTATTTAGATAGTTTTCTCATTGGCAATTGGCAATAACATCGCATCTCCTTATTTTTTAAAGTGTAAATGTGTAAAAAAAATAAATGTGCATGATTATACCTTTGTAATTACACGAACATTATACGGGTTATTTTTAATAACAATTGCTTGTGGGCTGTCATTATCATTTCTATTAAGTCATTTAATTTTTTTAGGAAATCTAGGAGGACAAATGGGACTAATTCTAGGAGCCAGTATACTGACCGTCATGGAACTGGGAGAATTACTCATATTAGTAATAATGTCCATGTTAAGGAAAAACAAAGAAAGGAACAGTTCAAACCAATGAGAACAAAGGAATATTTATAAAATCTTAATTATCATGTTGAAATAATTAATTAGAAAGAAGTTCTGCATTTCCTAGTTTGAAATAAATTTTCACAGACCTTCACAATAAGATCAAGTGAAAACTGACGTAGTTGTCACAACATTATTCTCAAGTGGTACACATATATTTTCTTATTACCAGGTATCGTACATTCACCAAAGTTGATCAATATGTCATATGGCAGGTTGAATAGCATTAAGCAATATGATTGTTCAATAATTTCGGAATATTATAGTAATGAAAAACATATATATGATACAACGGGATCTATAACTATAGTATTCCTTTTCTAAGTTTATGAAAAACAAACATGTAAAGTCACACAACTTCAAAGGAAAACAGAATCAGGAAGTACCTCTTGTAATAATTTATATTCGATTTAAACGGAAATATATTATTTGAATGTTAAATATATATTGTCCCTACATTTGTAAAAAAACTGAATCTATATTGATCTTTTGATTTACGAAAAATTGTATTATTGAAGGTATCCGCCGCATCCTTACTATTTACATGAACAAAAACGTACAATGTGTAAGATCTGTACCTATAGGATGTGTGTATGAATAGTTTCATGAATAGTTACATGTATATATGAATTAATGAATCATTATTCAACTCATTGAGGTTAGATTACAAGTAGATAGCTAGTTAAAAAATAGATAGGTACATGTAATTTGATTACGTTGACAATAAATAATTGTAGAAAAATCACGCATACATATGACACATATGTTAACAATGTTATCAAAATTGATAATTTAACTATCGAGACTTGGTAATCATTCCCTAGGTATACATGAACATCCCAAAAGTACAAAGATTATGAAAGAAAAGTAAAGTCCTAGGTGATGTAAATCATTTCTTTTTTTAATTGTAATATAACTATGTCATACGTCCAAATTATTTTGCTCATCTAATGGACAAAGTGCCATCATTTCAAGATCTTGGTCCTTAAATTAAAATGATAAGTATATTAATAGCCTCAACCCTGGACTTGTTTGTCACATTTGAGTCTTTATTTAAAACAGTCTTTAGAACTGAGGAAGACAGACCAATGTCAGATAGGTTCATGATGTCTATGTCACTGTAGTAAATTTAATCTTACATTTGTGTGTCAAGTTAATTGTTTATTTGTTGTATTTCTTTATGTATGCATTTTTGTGTTATAGCTTGACCCTTATGGGCTTAATTTTGCAATCAAAGATTACTATAAATTCATAAACAAAAATATTGTAACTATATTGAATGTTATATTTATTGTTATGTATTACATTGTG